TGATCTTAAGTGTTGAGAGGGTAGAACGTAGCTATTCCCTATGGCTGCCTTTGGAGGAAATGTAAAGGTGCTGTGCTGAGAACTCCTGAGTATATTCTCAAGTATATATTCAAGTATGCTTGAAGAGAAGTGGGTGTTCTGAGGGCACAAAGCTTGCTGAAGTGCTTTCAGCCAGAAGCAGAGGTCAGGGACACTAGTATCTCCGGCCCCTGAGTTAGGAAACAAAGCAGATTGACTGTCTAGGACACCTTGAGATGATCCTAAAGATGAATAAGTGTTTACGGCTGTTTGTGCACTGTTGGTGGGGATTTAAAGAATTTGTGGTGACTCCTGTGAGAGGGGCAATCCTTTGAGATGAGCATATTAAAACAAAAAACAAAACAACTTTCCCCCAAAGAGCAATAGCAAGAAACCAAGATAAAACAACCCATTTTAGCAGTCCAGTCAGGAGAATCACACTCACATTTGAAAACCACTGGGATATAAGGGAAAAAAAGATTTGCTAGGATCTCAGCAATAACCACACCTCACAGAAACTGGAACTTCAGTCATATACTTGACATTTCTTCAGTAACTTGCTGTCTTTTTAGCAACAGGAGTTAATTCCATTCACTTGAATGCTCCACCATAAAAGAGATTTAGACTTTTGTTAGAAATTGAAGATGGACTTTGATGCTTTTAGATGGCATGTAGCCCCAGGAATCCCCACACTAACTCTGCCAATTACTCCTATTCCATGAAAAGATCAACAGTGAGGTGGGGTGTGATGTGTTACTCTCTTAAAACCAAAAGCAGTACTCAGAGCTCCGCTACAAGCTGGGTTGGAGCATGCAGTAAATCTAGGCAAAGTACATCCACCCAATCTGTCATTCTGTCCATGGTAGATACTAGCAATTGCTTCTGTGATATCAATTCTCTATTCGTCGTTATCAATAGAACCCTTGTGCTCATTAGGTATGTCAATGTTATCAAATAAAAATAAACTGCATTCCCCATCTGTTTTCCAACTCTCTGCAATGGTTGATGACATATAAGAAGTAATTGGAAGGCTGGTGAAGTGGCTCAAGTGGTAAGAGCACCTGCCTAGCAAGCATGAGGCCCTGAGTTCAAGCCCCATTACCACCAAAAAGAAAAAAAAAAGAAGCAATTGGATGGGATTTTTTCTATTATCCTATTGCTGTACTGGGGATACACTGTGACATTTATAAAAGTTCTTACAACATATCACAGCTGAGTTCATCCCCTCTGGCTGGGATTTCTTAGAAAGCGCTTATCTTTCTTTCTGTATCTGTTCTTACTTGTTATGCTTGGACTCCAACTATGAGGGAAAAGCTGAGTCTCATAGCTCTTGACCTGAAATCTTCAAGCAGCTAAAATCATACCAGCAACTATTCCCCACCAGGTTTTTCCTTACATGATAAAGTGAAACTCTTTACGTCCTTAAGTCACAACGTTTGGGTGACTACCACTGGAAGCTACATGCGATTACTGACTGATCCAATCTAGAATCTATGCCTTGGGACTAGAATGTTTGAGAATGAAGGTGGGGGAGAAGGAAAACGATAGTAGGAGAAACAGAGGGAGAGGGATCTTATTTCCCCAGGTGTTTGGAGAAGGTGAGGAAGAAGATATTACTTGTCTGCAAGAAGGATCCTGAATCTGTTTGTCCACCTAGCATGTGAAACCAGGTAGTGGAATGAAGAGGTCAGCTTGTCAAGATTTGCTTGTCACGACGAGGTAGAAAACAGAAATTATAAGAGAGGAAGCAAAAGGCAGGATGTCTTTACTTCTGTATTTTAGGGCATATCATTTTTACCACATAAAACTGCCACAGTGATGTGAGCAGAGTGGCACTACAATGGGAGAGGAGGTTAAGAATTCTCTGTTGCTGAAATTTCTATTTCTGCTTCTTTGTTTTTTCATTTGGTTCCTGTTACTAACTAATCCTGCTTCCAATTATCTCTGAGTCTTACATTAGTAAAGAGAATCAGCTGGGTGCTGGTGGCTCACACCTGTAATCCTGCTACTCAGGAGGCAGAGATCAGAAGGATCACAGTCCAAAGCCAGCTGGGGCAAATAATTTTCGAGACCCTGTCTTGAAAAATCCAACACAAAACAGGGCTGGTGGAGTGGCTCAGGTAGTAGAACCCCTGCCTAGCAAATATGAGGCCCTGAGTTCAAACTCTAGTACTACAGAAAGAAAGAAAGAAAATCAGCATGGTCGAATTTTCACCCAGTGTGATACCTCATATCCTGCTGGCCAGTTTAAGGACTGGCTGTCTTTGGATTAGGTGCCCATCCCTAGTTCAGTCAGCTTTGATACCATCATGGAATCCTGTGATTAGGAACATAAATAAGATCACTTTTCTCAGCAGGGCCTGTGGGTAGGGACTCCTTTAGAAAGAGTTCTAAACCTGTTTTTAAGTTTCATTTTGTCCTGAAAACAAGCTAAGGGAGAGGAGGATTTAAGTAAGACCGTGGATGATAACCAACAATGTTCTGTTACTCTCTAACAGGATGTAGCGTAGAAAGCTAAGGGAACATTGTGTAGCCCTCGTTCTTTGAGGGCTCTCTACCTAATCAACATGGGAGTTCAAGCTGTGTCCAGATGGAGATAGTGTGCCTTGGTGAAGGAAGTACATGGGACGGGGGGAGGAGACAAAGCCAGAGAAGAGGGAAAAAAATGGAAGGTACCATGTATGGCAGTGAGACATTGTCAATCAATGTAAAATAGTTACTGTATCTTTTCATACTTTTTCCCCTGGGGCGTGGTACTTCCCTGAAGCATAATTATTGGATGTCCATTACAGGAAAAAAATTTCTGTGGAATTTAGTGTTTTATGGTGAAAAAAATCACGTAAATCTGAATACTATTATCCTTATTGCCATATCTTCCTTCCTTTCTCCCTCCCCCTCCCTCTCCCCTCCTTTCCTTCCTTCCTTCTTCTCTTCCTCCCTCTCTTTTTTCCTTTCTTCTTTTTATTTTCTGAGAGTCTTGCTATGTAATGCAAAGTAGCCTGGAAGTTGGAATTGTCATGCCTCAGGCTCCTGAGTGCTGGGTTTACAAGTGACTGCCACTTAGCCCAGTTTACTGCCACATTTTTCATAATTCAAAATAGTGATAGAAATTACTTATTCTTGTCCAATGATCTTGAACTAAAATTGAGTTTCCAAGAGAATGCATTATGTGCTTACCCATATGCTACCACATACCTCCTAGGATACATGTTTCCTGAGCTAAAATGTATAATTCCGTGAAGGTGCCCAATAATTCAGAGGGATTTTGTGAGGTTTTGGAGGTACAACAATTGCATGTAATTATAAAAGCCAGAAAAATACAGGTAATAGGAGGATAATTTGTTGCTCATATGATAAGTTGAGGTGGCTAAAAATTTTCGGTGGGGATATTTATTTATACTAGATAAAGGGAGACAATGAGAGTGTGTCCCAGTAGGGCTAGTGGGGACCATTTGGTTACATGGCACAGAAACTCACAGAAATTGGCCAAAAGTAGGGGTGGGTTGGTGATGGTGGTGGCTGTGATGATGATGGTGGCAAGGTAAAATTAGTGTTTTGATAAAGAAACAGAAGATTCATGTGATATTAAGTTATATATCAGCTTTCATAGAAATTGGACAAATGATGGCAGTTAGTCTCTCTACTTTTCCTTCTTTGGGCTTTATACTAGTCTGTTGTTACTTGGTAAAGCAAAACACCTGAGGTAAGTTTCAGTTTTGGAGGCTGAAAGTCCAAACATCATGGCCCTGGCTCTGTGTCACACCATGGCAGATGGCATCATGGCAAGAGCATGTGTAAGAAATCACATGGTGAGACAGAAAGACAAAGACCAGGGAGTGGCTAGTCTTTCTCACTGGAACTAAGAAGGGTCCCACAAGAACTGTATAAATTCCTGTCAAAAGCAACACTTCCAACAATCTACTGATGTCCCACTAGTCTCCATCTCTTAAAGGTCCCATGGATTCCTAACATTATGTGTTGGAGACCAAGCCTTCAATATATGAACCCTTGAGGAGAAAACTATATTCAAACCATATTAAGTTTACTTATTTCTGCTACTCTATGTATGTTTTGTTCCATTTTCATTTGAGCAAAAAAATACTTATTAAAACTCTTTAATTTCTGCCTCAATAACATGATATGATCCCATAGACCTAGTGCTCAGTGAAATATGACTCAGACTCGGTCTCTCAAATCTGAATTTCTAGAAAGGAGAATACAATTGGTAAGGTTGGGTTATCTGTCCAGTACTAGTCCAAACTGCTGTGATCAGAGAGTTGGAGTGTCCAGTGGTGGTCTAATCAGCTGTGATCAGAGGGTTGGAATTATGTTGAGTTGCCCTTGCAGGAGTGGGCTGTGTAAGTGTCATCTCATCATGAGGAAATGATGGGAGCTTCTATAAAAGGTTTGAGTTTAAGGGGAAGTAGCCATGTCTGAGTAAGGTGGGTAGAATTTGTTAATTGATAAGGTTTGAGGATTCTATTTTGGAGACTTGGTGATGAGTGAACTTAAAGTTTAGAGTTTGTTGAATGAAGAAACAAACATTTAGTCTGAAAAGCAGTTATCTAGGTTCACTGACTTCAGATTTTATGAGCATTGAATTACTAGATTGAAATAAATTAGTATGAGCTCATCTCTGCTACTATTTCAGTGACCTTTAGAAGCTAATTTTTCTTAGTTTCTGTTTCCTCATTTATAGGTGGGGAATAAAAGTATCTGCTCTATCGCACAGGATTATTGAGATCAAATAAATGATACAGATTAGTGTTCTGAAAACTGCAAAGCATCATACAGATGCAAAGTTTTATTGCTAGTATGAATATTATTGCCAGTTACTCTTTCCTTGAACTCACACCTGTATGTACATGTGCTCTGTGTGTGTGGGCAGAGGTGGGGAAGAATGAAAGACAGTGCTGAATAGTAGATATTTCACAAGAGAAGGAAATGCTGTAATGATCTGTGTATGTTTCTCCTCTTACCTTCCTCTAAATATTTCTGGGCAGAGAAATTTCTCCTACTCCAACCAACTCCTTTATCTCCCTTCCAGGCAGCCTGTGATGTGAAGGGCTTACATGTGGAACAAAATAAGGAATGCTGCAATAAAAAGGTACAATCTAAAGTTTGTAGGCTACAGAAACTGAGCAATCATTATCATAGGTAGAGGGTAGAAGGTGCTGCTGGAATGTGCTTGTGCTGTGATGTTGAATGGGTGTGAGAGAGGGGTGGGGAGGGAGCCATGTAGTATACAGCAATGACATAGGTCTGGTACTCTCTACTGGCTTGTAGAATAAGTTCAGTGTAGGATATACTGACTGTTTGTCACTTGTGTATCCCACCAGAGCATAGACAAGATGGTTTTTGATGGAAGTGACCACCTCCTTCCAGTCTAGTCTAGTGAACCTCTCCTCCTTCCCCTCCCTTCTCCCCCCTCTCCTTCCTCCCCCTCGCCTTCCTCCTCCTCTTTCTTCTCTCCCTCCTTCTTCTCCTCTTCCTCCTCCTTATTCTCCTTCTCTACTATTTTTAATTAGCATACGTTAGTAGTACAAGGGGGTTTCACTGTGATATTTCCATACATGTACACAGTGTTACTTTGAACAAATTCACACCCTCTATTATATTCCCTTAACTCTCACTGCTGTCTGCTTTTCAAACAGCATTGGTGGGTTTTATTATGCTACCTTCATATATATATATGTTTCGATATTTCCCCTCCACCCTCCTGCTGATCCACCCAGAGAGTCCCTCTTTTACACTGATGTCCTGTCATCATCATCATCATTGTCATCATCTTCATTTTAAGGTGTAGATTCCATATATGAATGAAAAGTGCATTATTTGGCTTTTTTGAGCTTGGCTTATCTCATTCAACATGATGACCTCCAGTTCCAGATACGTCTCCTGATATCCTCAAGGTCAGAGAAGCCCCTTTCATCAGGCAGCAAACCAATCAAGGCACCCCAGTGTTTGTACCTTGGTCTGGCCTGAATCTTTTTTAATCCAAGGACTTGGAGCTAAACTTTTACACTACTGTCATTGGTAGCATCATAGATGTTGGTATGCATTTCAGGGCTGTGTGCAAAGTAGGTACTTCATCTTTTTAAATTTTTACACAGTAATGACCACCTGCCATGATCAGAAACCTGATATAGGGTAGAGTGGGAGGTTCACATAGCTGAAGGAACCTGGGATTGGGAATGCAGGGTCTGGTCTCCAGTACCAGCTGTGGCAGAGCATCGTACTCAGAATAATTGTGACTAATATATCCTGTATATATGTAACACCAAGTGGTTTACTTGTATTATTTTGTTTACTTTATATATTTGTTGGATAGGAGCCACTTTTATCTTCATCTAAGGTAAGGAAACAGAGGTTTACTTGCCTGGGATCTCCCAGCTTTGGATTCAGATCTGGATCTTTTAGTCAGCAACCACAGAAACCTCACCACATTGCTAGCTTTCACTTCTGTAAAAGAGAGGCCACATTTGGTGATCTTTAAAGTTCCACTGGGGTAACTTTGCCCCATGGTCTCAGGAGCCAGGAGGATTGGCATTCAGGTGGCAGTTTAGATACTTGCTGCCTAAGGGTCATTAAGAATATCAATAAGGTGAAGTAGTACAAAGTCTTGGGACCCAAGACTCCTCTCCTAGCTCTGAATTTTTTGATCCTATGATGCCAAAGGTATCCAAATACTCCTCAATGCTGGGCTGCAGACTTTGCTGATTCCTGACATTTTCTTATTTCACAGTGATTGGTAAAATGAGAAAAACAAGGATAAGGATGTGAACTTTTCAAAAAGAGAAACTGATTCTGCCTTGATTGTTCAAGTCTATGTCCACTTTGACATGACCAACACAAGAGATGGTGATTTTATTTTTCCAGATGATATACACAGCTCATGAATTCACATCTTTTAGCCCAAGTATTCCCTGATTTTCCACTGGCTTATAAGAGAAAATGTCCAGAAATAGCAGTGGTGAAACAGGGCTTTAAATATTATGTGTGGTAAAAGAGCGGTTTTTATTTTTTTTTAAATTGAGTATGCCACAGACTGAGACTTTTGTAAAATTAAAAATAAGTTACTGGAAAGACAAAATTAAAAATCAAGGATATATAAATATAATCTCCATTTTAAAATTGTTAGGTCCAAAAGAGATCAAATTATTGTTATGCATTGTAATAAAATCTTCTCAACACTTATCTCTAATTTCTGTTCTTATTTCTTTGGGGACTGGCAAGCACAGGTTCAGGGATCATACTTGGGATGGCATGTGAGGAGGACTCTGTCCAACCTTGGGAGGGTCCTGATAAAGCAGGGTTCTTACCCTGGGGTTACTGGAAGTCATTTAGAACCCAGTGAACTTGGAAAGGGGAAATATTCACATATTTTTTCTTTTCTAACCTCTAATTAAAAATTAGCATCTCTTTTTCAGTACAAATTTAGGCTATAAACCATTGTAGAGTGAGCAGTACATATGACTTCCATCCAAGAGAGGTCATATTACCTACATATCCTATGTTTAAGATAATATTGAAAGATTGTTCATGCTTACCACTATTTTGAAACTCCAATATCTATTATACCAGTTGCTACATTGTTAGTTAACATATTAATATTATTATATTAATAATATGTTATTATTATTGCAATTTAAAAATAGTCCAGTAACTGTATTTTAATATAACTGGTTCCCTTTCTATCACTATTTATTTTATTGCATGCACTTAAAGACATAATTCTAAGCACATCCATAGTAGAAAGAAGATTGCCAAATGGTCCCCATAACACAAACAAGCTTAAGGACACCTTTTGTATGGCAAGAAAAGAATAAAATGATTTTGAAAACATTTTCAAAACAATTTCCTTCAATCACAGATCAGCAGATTATGTTATAGTATGTTAATGGGCTCCTGAGAGATCAGAGTTCTTTGAGAGTATCAGGGCATTTGTTTTTTTGCTCCTTTTTGTCTACAAATTGAGTCAACTCTGTGTTCTCTTACCAGACTTATTGACTGACTGTCCTCATAGCTAAAGAGACATGCAGTGGCTAGAAGAGATCGAGTGCAGGGTGGCTTCTTGCTCTAAGATGGTAGGGATGTTCCTCTTAGAGAAAGACCGTGATTACTAATTAACTAACAATTCTAATCTTGGGAGGGAAAGCTGGGCAGTGACTTGCACTTGAAATCCATTAGCATTTTCATGGTAGATCAGTAAACAGTGACCAGAGCTCAGGTTGCTTTCTGGCATTATGCTCCTCTTCTTTTATTGCTAGACTGTTCCTCAGAGCCAGCAGGATCAGTTGCAGGAAGAAACAAGGTATGTTCATGAACTGCATATTCACTTATGGCTGCAGGGTGTGTGTGTGTGTGTGTGTCCACGCGCGCACGTGTGGTGCAAATGTGTTTGAATTTGTGTTGATCCTTTTTGATCAAAATGCCCTTGTGAATTTATTTATTTATTTGTGTTTACTTGTTTTTTTTTTTTAATATATATATTTTTTCTTTTATTATTCATATGTGCATACAAGGCCTGGGTCATTTCTCCCCCCTGTCCCTACCCCCTCCCTTACCACACACTCCGCCCCCTCCCTCTCCCAATACCCAGCAGAAACTATTTTGCCCTTATTTCTAATTTTGTTGTAGAGAGAGTATAAGCAAGAATTTATTATGGACAAAAATAGGCAACAAAAATTAGGCAAGCACATGCAGAAAAAATTCAACTCATTTATCTTTTCTGTTTGTGTGTGTGTGTTCATGTCATGTTTGTTTTCTTCTGGATGTAGGCTGGATCTGCAAGCCTGATTGTAGCTAAATCTATGTGTTCATGGGTGTCCCTGATGAGAATAAAGAATTGTTTAATATTCGGGTGAGGTACCAGGTGGATTATTTTTTCTGATGCTGGAAATGAGGTGGGGGAAGTGAGGAAAAGTAGTAAGAGTTTGGGAGTGAGACTGGAACCTTTGGGGACATTCCTTCTGAAAGGATGTGGAGCTGTGATGCTGTGATTAAGAAGTGCTAATTAAAGACTCAGTTATTGTTAGGAACTGAGGAATCTGTTACCATCCTTAGGGGTTTGGTGCCTCTCAACCAAAACAGGGGTATTTTGGAGCAGTGTCAGGGTTGGTGGGGGGAGCTGGGGATTAGGATAAGCATATGACATTGTATGTAGTGTAGGGTAGGAGAGATTTCATATGGAATCTGGAGGGGGATCATGAAGGGAAAGATGAGTACATTGAGTAGTAATTATGTGTGAGATAGAATGGAAAGGCCTAGAAGAAGAGGGAAAGGCAATTGGATATTTTGGCCCCTCCCTAGAAAAGTTGAGTGCTTATTAGTTGGTAGAGTCTAGCTAGGCACCTGTGGGCATTTCTTTTCTGACTGATCACTGAGGTAGGAGTGAGAGTTACTACTGGGGAAAGGAAGAGGGGTCAAGATCAATCCATGGGTCTCACTGGGCAAGGCTACCAGTATATCCTGATACAGAGTATGATCCGTAGTTTTGATGTACTCTGAGAATCCCTGTTTGCTGGTCTGGTTTCAGGGTGTGGGACAGTGAGTGCCTGTGAAGTGGACAGGAAGGGTGTGGGAGGGAAAGGCCTTTGGTCTGCTCTGCTGTGTGTAGATCCTGGCTCTGTCAGGACCAAATGAAGTGGAATGACACTCCACTCTGTATTCCAAATTTAAGAGCTTATCATTAGTTCATGCACGTTTTCACAAGATGCCCATGGTTTTGATCAGTCATTCCTTCACAAATGAATTTCAATGAACTAATAAAATTACTTTACAAATCTTTTCATAAACATGGATAGTAAGACCAAAAAGAGGATTTTCCACTTAAAATTTGTTTCTGTGGAATATGATGAGGAAGATAAACCCTTATACATCTTGGACTTGGGGCCACAGAAGGATATAGTTGTCTTCAAGAGATGACCACTTTGCGGTTCAGATGGGGTTAAATTTTTTTTCCTAAAGTTCAAGCAGCAGGGTAGGGTCAGAGATGACTCTTAGGTCTCTGAAGTTTGGATATGATCAGACTTGCAGAATAAACGTTAGTTATTCTCCCCCTTATTCTCCAACTGACTGGGAGACAATGGACCAAACTACTAAATA